TCAAAAGTAAGCTTCTTGAGTTCGAAGCGGCAACAAAATGACTCACAAACGCTCAGTTTCCTTCGCGAGCGATTCAATCCGCCGCCAGAGGGCCCGTCCTCCGACACGTCGTCCTCCGACGCCAACAGCATCCATGACTCCGTCTTCTCGCTGAGCTCCGTGGCCAGCGAGGCGCTCGACGCGATGCGCGAGTACCAAAGCGACCTCTACTCGCGCTACTCGCAGGCGCGCTCGCCGACGCCCACGCAGCGCATGAGCGTGCTGAGCAGCGCCAGTACCGTCATGGAGCGCCCCATCATGGGAACGGGAGGCAGACGCGCGTCGCGGGTGCAGGGCCGCGACCGCCTGGGCTCTGTCGTGTCGAGCATCGCCCCGCCGTATTCGCGCACGGAGCTCACGCACGTGCGCACATTCTATGTGTATGAAGCCACGAAGCGGTCAGGCGGCCGCTTTGGGAGGATGTAGCAGATTTTTGTTGTAATATGGTTGTTGTAATTGTAGCTGAAGCTTCGAGTAATGCAGTGACGCTTGTCGGAAGAGCAAGAAAGTGAATCGCCGTGGACAACAAATAAATGATGCCATCAACAGTTTGTTTCGCACAAGTAGGAGACACGACCAAGGAGTATCGAACGCTTTTCGAGCAAACTCGCCCACCAGAAATCATCACAGACAGTCAACCGAGAAATACTCAAACTGTGCAACCGTCCCCTCCTTGTTCTTCGGCCCGCAAACCATCACGCCGACGCGCCACTTGTCTCCCACACTCGCCTTGCTTCTGCCCTGGGCATCGAGATTGAATCCGCGGATCTCTCTGAATTTGGTCAGGTGCGACGCAGCGGGCGGGCTTGGCGAGGCGCCCGTCGGCGAGAGATACTGGCTGAGCGTGACCAGGGGCCCCTCCCGCACCATCTTGATGTACACCGCGTACGGCGAGTCCCCGGATGTCGACGTAGAGTGTGCGGCGGGCGCGATGGCCCAGTCGGAGAACGGCGACGTCACGACGGCACTTGTGAAGCATCAGCCGCGGATTCTCCAGCGTGAATGAGAGCAGTGGGGCATGCGCACCCAATGAACTCGTGCCCGTCCTCGACCTCGACCCCCGCCTTGATCCAGTCGCCCTGGACGTCGTCGGAGCTGCCCGCGAGGAGCATCAGGCAGCCCTGGTCGAACTGGCCGTCCCACGCGCCGCGGATCCAGACGCCAGCGGCGAAGTCTTTCTGCGCGTCGACGGGCGTCGCGAAGAACGCACCCGTGCGGCTGTCGATCTCGGGCGCGGCCGAGGTTGGGGGGACGCGCCACCAGTCTGTTTCGGGCTGCGCGCGCAGCTGCAGCTTGGTGCCTGAGCCGGAGACGCGGTGGGCGGATGCGGCGGGGCGGATTTCGAAAGACGGGTCGGAGAATGAGGAGACCATGTTTCGTGTGTGAGAGTGTCGTGTCGTATCTGGCTCGGTCGTGGCAGCTGAAGCTTGGGGAGCAGTGATCACATGAAGATGAAGTAGGATGATCTGATTAGATTAGATAACTCGATTGGCGGTCCGCATCAAACAGCCTCGCACTCGAGTAATCAAGGCCTCAAGATCGCTTCCGATTCTTGCCCCTTATGGTTTGAACTCTGCTTTTCTGCTGCTAGCACAAGACTGAATTGTGTTTAAAGGCATTCAAAATCATTCAAATGGTAGAAATCGCTTTTGGTTGTTCCAGAGTGACTCTAAGAACATGGACCTCCGCTGTCCGAACCATCTAAATCCTATAGGCCTGCTTCTGAAAGAGAAAATTCACCTTAAGCACGCTGATGCACGCTGGATATTTCATTGATCTAAGACATGATCTGCTAGTGGCCAGCCCCACTCAGTGCTTATGCCTATGATGTTTAATACTGTATATCCACACTGGACCTACATTCAATTTTTTTTATTGGTATGGCCGTCTGTTCACAATCGATTTCGCTGGGAGAATATCCGCATCTGTCTCCTACTTAACTCAATCGCCATGTGACATATCGGATAAGAATGTTACAAACGACTACGCCCAAGACCAATCCCGCCAATAATCCCCACAGACTACACACAAATGATAGGTCAACTTCAGCTTGCCCCTGTTCTTGTGCCGCTTTGACTCGCAGTGACTCGAACATCTATGAGGATCGGATTCCAGAAACACGGGACAACATGTCATGCAGCAGACTTGCCTTGCTGTCTGGTGTTATGTGATCTTCAATCGACCTTTCGAGGATTCCAACCACGCGCTCTGCAATCCTCTCTCATGTGATGTCATTAGCTTCGGTCATTCTATTGATTGAATAAAACACAACTCACGAATTCATGTGTGTTCCGCTCCACAGTCAGCGCCAAATACTTTGTGTACAAGATGTAGAGCTGTTCCCGAACCCCCACGTGACTGTTCAACTTCCTCGCCATCAGCATCAATTCATCCGCACGATCTTTGTTCCAGCGCGCTAGGATGGCTTGCTCGTCGAAATATGGTGCACTTCTCAGAAGCTCCCTGTGTGTTTTGTCTCGGAGTATCGAGAGAAGCATCTGCTGTGGCATGTCTTCCGATGTCTTTTTCGCCCGAAATGTGAGCTGTGGTCTGTCATGATCAGAAGGTGTGACTCACAGATGATTCCATGAGAGCTCAGAACAGGACTCGGGTTATCACTCGCCGGGCTGTAGCTTAAATACATTCTCAATCTGCCAAAGTCGTACTTGGATGACAAGCACGGTCCGTGCATGCTGTCCGTCGAGACAGGCCGAATGGACGCGTAACGGATCAAGGGGGCAGGATGTCACAGGTGAAGAGACTCGGCGCATCTATCTAGTGATGTTCTATGCATGTATGTGATACGGGCACTGGATCGTCTACGCTGGAGATGATGAGGGTTCAAGAAAATGAGGAGTAGGGCTGCACGACCCGAATGCACTTCGGTTGTGGGCGAAGATATGGCGCATCGGGCGGCGGCGGTTTGGATCCCTCTTCCAAGCCGCTCCAGAAGTACGGCCAAGTCGACAAGTAGCACAGCTCCTGCACAGCGGGTCAGTGCCAGCGAACCCCAACAGATGTTCGACGTATGAAGGGGACAGACCTCTGCGCCACACGCGGGCCGGCATTTGATCCACACGCTCCAGTCGAGCCAGGACATGAGATTCTGCAAAGACGCGCGCCAGGAGTCCACCAGATTTATGGAATCCGCGCCAGGGTCGCCAGGAATCAATGGATCGAGTCCAGCGTGGACACCGAGAGCCCACATCCCGACGACAACGCGGCAAATCTCGCGGTTGACGCCCTCGAGCGCCGCGAGGAGCGTCCTCTCAGAAGGTGTGAGGCTATCCTCCCGCTGACGGATCGGATCGCTGTGGCGGGTGGCGCATTTCTTCCAAATCGGGACCGCCCATGCGTCGCCGTCGTGCGCGCCGTCGGGAACAGCCGAGTGCAGGATGTACGGTGTGAGCATCACGCGCAGCTGGACATGTATGAGAGCCTCCTCGGCCCTGCTCTGCAGCAGATGCGACACCAGCTCAAGCCGATCGGAGTACCGCGCGACAGGGACATGGAAAAGAGCCTTCCAGTCGACGCCGCTCGCGCTTGGAGCTGGTGGCTCTGCTAGCACCGACCGGAGTCGGAGGTTTACGGCGTGTAGATCGGCGGCGGAGATGTTGATCAGCCGGTGCTCGAATCTGTCTTGCGATGCGAGTCTGTGCGCGACCAAGGAGGGGACGAGGTCGATGTCGTAGAACGACACGGCGCGAGACAGATCGAGCTGGATGCGGATGTCGCCTGGGTATCGGTTGTGCCACATTCCAGCGCGCAGGACTTCTGCGCCGAGGATCTGCCGCACGATGAGGGGGTCTGCATCATCATGGATGCGAGACTCGATCACGTCGGACCTGTGCGCAGAGGAAATCGGAGGCTCCCAGCGTGGGTACCACGAAGCAAGGAAATCAGCTGAATCGAGCTTCAAGCCGTTTTCGAAATCGCAGACCATGACTTCGCTATGTTGTGTCAGACGGCAGTGGAGAGTTTGAGATTATTCAACGCACAAATCCATCTCCATTCTTAGAATTTGTCAATTCGAGTTTTCGGGGCGTGTGGGGCAACGCACCTGACAAATCCGTCGATGCCGAATTCCTTGCCCCATTTACAAAGCCCAGAGATCCTCTGTCCCTCATCCAACCACCGTTTGGGGTCCGCGTCACCCCAGATGAGTAGATCCTGCGAGTCCAGGGTGCCCGTGATCATATTTGCCGCGCTGGAGCCGTCGAAATACAAGACGCGCAGCGGCCGCGTCGCGGAAAACGTCAGATGCCAGCACCCGGTCTGAGCTTCACGGTATTCCTCTTCTTCCGAGTCTCTGGGCTGCGGAAAGTCGCTGCCGCAGAAGTGGTAAGAGTGTTCGGGGTCGAGCGATGTCCAGTCGGGATATTTGGGCACGTCTGGAAAGCGCCGGCCGTGGTATAGAAGCGTCCCGACGGGAATGGTTCCAGGCACTATCGTGTGGCCTGCCGCGAGATTAACGATTCGGGGGGCAGATAACATCGGAGAGTATTGAGAGTCACGCACCATTGCGATAGCGCGTGTTCGGCCAATGCTGCAGCAGAGAATTGACCGTCTCGAAGATGAAATTGGATGTGTCGTTGAGGTGGGGCACGTGGTCCAGCCTCCACCGGTTCTGCTCGAGTGCTCCGATGCGGAACGGGGCTTGTGTCTCGGCGGAGACAAATTGCAGGAGGGCCGCCTGCAGAAGGAGGATGATGATGCGTGCACGCATCTGAGTTGGAGCAGAGAGTGGCTCTCCGCAAGACTCAGAGTCACCACTATCACCAGAATTGATGTTTTGATCGCAGCGGGTTCGGTCCCGAATCCGGCATGCGGCTCCTCCCGTTGATATCTCTCGAGATACGTATACTCCGCAGTGTCCTGGCTGGAAAGCCCAGGCGCGTCGTTCGACAACGTTCCAAATTTGGATCAGCGAGGTTGTGTCGCTGTTACATAAGACCAGAAGCATGAGTGGCTTCGAAATTTACGCGTCGCAGTCAGGTGATCGCGCCGCTAGGGCCTCTTCTCTTCCGCCTCCTCCACACAAGTCTCGATCAATCGCTGCACTCTCCATGCCATTGCCTCTGGATGAAACCTGGCTGGGATCGGTGGCCAACGGTCAAGAGGGCGAGTCGGAGGCGCTCGAAATCCACGACGACAGCTCTGCAACAAGTGCTCTACCGAAGCCGAAAGCTCCAGCTTCAGCAGATTCACCCTTTGGATCGTCGCAGAGGCCCATCCTCATTGAGGACGACTCGCCCCCGCCGAGCCCCGCCATCCAAGGAAGCCCCGTCCCTGGCATCGCCCAAACACCAGCCGTTCTTCCACCATCCTCCCAGCTCGAATCCGCACGTCTCAGCCCGCCTCGGCAGAAGCGGCGCCTCGCGCACACCAACGACTCCGCTCCCCCAAAGCGCTCCCGCACCCTCCCGCCGCTCTCCTCGCGCACGTTCCCCCGCGGCGCGATCCTGCCCACGCACACGACGCACGGCTCGCCCCGTGCGGACGGGCGCGACGCCGTGCGCCTCGCGGACGTCCTCGGGCCGCCGGCGGAGCTGCAGCTCGCGATCGTCGCGTCGTTCGGGTACGACCCGGCCTGGCTCGGCGCGCATTTCGCGCGCGGGACGCCGGTGGTGGCCGTGTCGCCGGCGGGCCGGGAGGCGCGTGCGAGTGCGAAGGCCGGTGGTGGGCCGGTGGTAGAGAGGCTGCGGGCGCCGCTGGGGAGCTGGGTGCGGACGTGTCCGGAGGTCGGGTTCGGCGGGTGCTTCCATATGAAGGTGTGTGTTGTGCGTCTGGCTTGTTCGGCGCGTGGCGTTTGGAGCAGTAGCAGTGGACGCTGATTGCGATGCCGTGTAGTATATGGTGCTCGTGTACGAATCGGGTCGTTTGCGTGTCGTCGTGAGCACCGCGAATCTGCTGCCGATTGATTGGAGTGACCTTGAGAATGTACGTGCGCTTTGAGAGTACTTGCTGCGTTGTCCTGACTTCTTTACCCCCAGGCTGTGTTCATCCAGGACGTTTTCCCTGTGTCTCCTGGGCGTTCTTCCACTTCCAAAGGGAACGGATTCGCAACAATTCTTCAGACTGTGCTGTTGAAGACCAATGCTGGGGCCGGGTTAGAATTCCTGAGCAAATCGGTCCGCATCCGTCCCAGTCTACAGCGCTCTCATTTCTGACGATCGGCCCTCACTAGATGGATCTCCCGATCAAGGATGTTTCGGACATCTCGACTATGTGGGACTGGAATCAGGTCAAAGCAGAGCTTGTTCCCAGCTTTATCGGCAAATGGCAAGACTGGAAGACAATCAAAGAGTCTGCCCCTTGCTATACATGCTATACATTCTGACTTTTAGCCCAGAAATGGACATCCTCGACTGATGCATGCCGTGCAGTCTCTAGGATTGACGATCCCCACGAATGCCCAGCTCAAGCTTGAATGCCAGGTGGGCCGTCTCAATAGCGCTAGGATACAATTGAGGGCCTCTCTGGCAGGGCTCGAGCATCGGCGTGTACACCACCCAGTGGTTCAACCAATTCTACACCTCCGCGTGCGGGGACCCGAGCGCCCTCACATCTCATCTCGGCATTCCTGAGCCGCAAAGGAAGAAGCTCGCCTATCCAGCTGGCATCAGCGTCGTGTTTCCGACCCAGCAGACGGTCAACGACGCCGAGAGGCGCGGTGCGACGTCCATGTTCTGCACGCGCAAGAAATGGAAAGCGAGGAATTTCCCGAGGGAGGCTTTCGGGACTCGAGGAGCAGAGGCGGTCGCGTCCTTATGCACACCAAGGCAAGTCGGTGTAAACGTGTGTCGGGGATGGATGATTTATCCATGTGCAGATGATTCTGGCTGAGATCGGATCGGATGGCGTGCGGCCCAGCGCCAGCGGATGGGTATATCTGGGCTCGCATAATTTCACCTCCGCGGCCTGGGGGAATTTATCGGGCACATCGAACTTGCCTGTTCTCAACGTGTGTGCATCATTTGTTCCGTGGACGCGGTGTTCCAACTGCGCGTAGATCAACAACTTTGAGCTCGGGGTCGTCATTCCGATGCAAACACAGCAAGAGCTCGAGGAGATATCTGCTTGGGAGCGCCCACCGAGGAAGTATGGCCCGGGTGATTTGCCATGGGTATGTTCAAACGTCAGGTCTTAAGTATTCTAGAGCTCAATCATTTCCAGTTCAAAGAAGGACTGAGCTTGTGATTCATTTAGCAAGCGATTGAGATCTAGAAGCCGTGGTTCATGAATCATTTTTTTTGCACCCGCTGACGTCTGACTTCCTGAACCAACCCGTGGGCCGTAGTGCCCTCACAGACAATCGACTATGCAGACAGCACTGGCGCGTGAATTATGAATACAGTTGTCATGGATGCCGGGTGATTATGATCAGATGGCGGTGCGCACCGCGTCCCGACTCGCGCCTCCCCAAATATCGTGCCTGGGCCCTGATATATGATACTTCATCCTACCAACCGCGCAGCGAAATCTCTGATGCGCACTGGCGTGTAAGTACTTGGTACTACGCGCGAGGGGCGTTCGAGGGTCGGGATGAGACAAAGCAGGACGCTAAATTGCTCAATTGCACAGTACTGCAAGCATCATGATCACTCCACTGAGCGCGTGCAGGAGTCTGTTTTTCTCGCTCTGACGTGAACGAATGCGGAGAGTCTCCATGGGGTGAACACTGTGAAATCCTTGCATGCGTTACCCAGTTTGATCGTTGCAGCGCCGCCGCCGCCGATCCTACCCAGCCGGGCTCGCCTCGCCCACTGTGTCGTCACCCGCGGCGGACGAATGAGACCCTGCAATAGAAACCTGAAACAGGGAGATGCCGCGTGCGAGTGAGTGTAGTCAGAAGATGCCTCGAGTATAAAACACGCTCCACGCTCAGGTCACACGTCCATTCGATTCCATCCCACTCACTCACTCACTCTCAATGTTTCTTCGGCACGTTCTTTTGTTCTCGCTTTCTGGAGCCGCAGTTGTGTCTGTCGCCGCGCAGGACTTGGGTGTCCCGCTCTCGTGGCGGTGAGTTTATTCGTCTGATATGCATCTCTGACTGTATGTACCAACATCTCTGGGTTTCCAGAAATTCAGCAACAGCCGCGGGCTGTCAGAGCGCATCCAGATCGCCCAGGCCGCGATCAACCAGATGACGACCGTTCTCGACGCGTCGACGGGAGAGTTCGCTGTGGTGTTCTCTACATCAATTTGGGTGGTGGTTGGGACCCATAGCGACTGGACAGGAATCGGGTACTGGCAGTCCGGGAATGTGTGGTCTGTCATGGCGAACCAGGACTACCTCGCGAAGAGCACGGTGAACAAGGCCCTCGTGCTGAACAACTTGAATCTTGTCTTCAACCGGTTCAGCAACTACGATCAGTTTGGGTGCGTTCGTGTGTCGTGTAATTCTCCCGAGCCTGGATGAGCGTTCTGATTGGGACTGTGCAGGGTGAGTGGTTGAGTGATGTGTCAGCGCGCGAATGCCTGTGCTGATGGTGTGCGACAAGTTTAATGATGACGGCATGTGAGTTCTGGGTGAACGATGATGAATGGACGATGCTAATCCCGAAAAAGGTGGGGGCCACGGCGGCGATTCTACGCACACCACCGGCGTACGGGTGCGTTGTCTGTCTTAAATTCTCCCGAGGCTGGGATCTCAAGGTCATTCAGGATGCGACGATGCTTTCGGCACACCGGTTACTGTCTGGAATCATGTGGCGGCAGTTGTCAGTGTTCAATGGCACTGACGGCACCCACCTGACTGATGGCTCGTTCAGCGTCGTTCAAGGAGAGAACACAGCCCAACAAAAACTTCCCCATCCAATCGGCTTGTAATGGCGGTGAGTTGGTCCCCGGGCGATTGTTCGAAATTGCTTAGCGATGTCATTCAGTCACTGGTGGCGCGCAGTTTTCTGGGTACATCTCGATTTTTGAGCACACAATATCTAATCACAAACCAGCGCCCCACGATTGACGACTCTGGAATCAACTCCATTACCACTGGGGTCGGTGATCTCTCGATGCCTTTTTGAATTCATGTATTGATGACCCTGTTTTTGACTCCAGGCTTTTTGTAACGTGCGTTAATTCTGATCGTCGCAATCTAGGTGAAATAACGATCTCACCAGGCTTTCTGCTTTCCTGGCCGAGGCCACCGGCAATTCCATGTACACCAACGCTGCAGTTCAAAGTGCCACGTGGTGAGTTCATTTCATGTCCCAAGTTACCGCCTTTTTTTTTCGAACACGCTCTAGGATCAAAACCCAGATGATCGAACTCGAATCAGCTTGTTCTTGACGGCATGAGCGCCGAGACTGCAGCCGATCTCCGAACTGATTTTACACTACAACACGGGGCAAGTACATCGAAGCTTAGTGTGCTCGGCGCTGTTACCAAGGACTCGACGTGGACCAACTTGTAGGGGGCTCTGGTGCCAGCTACGCGAGAAACAGAAACTGATCTGCTGTATTTTTCAAGGATGATCAACCTCTTGAACTCGGCGGTCAAGACGAACGCGTGGCAAGG